AAAACACAATACTGCGGGAGAACTGCTTCTTAAAAAAAATCCATCTGTCTCCCACCCTACACACTAGTTCAACCACGAAATGTGGTCACATTTCCTGCTGTTCTCCCTATCTATGTTCCTGTAACAGGCCAGACTTAAAGCCCTGAGGCCTCTGTCCTGGCTTTCTGTTTACCTGCAACGCCCTCCCTCCAGATCCCCACCAGACTCCTCCCTTACCTCCTCATGCCACCTTTTCAGTGAAGGCTAGCCCACCCAGCCTCCTTAAAACAGAACTCCATCCACCCACCTTACACATCCCACCTTGTTTTTTTTTCCTCCCAACAGCAGTTACTAAAAAACAAATTCTACAACTTGCTTATCCATTGGTGTTTGCCTTGCTCCTGCCTCACTAGAACCCGAGCACCAGAGAAGAGCACTTCCGTGGGCTGATGGCCCCCAGGTACCTGGATGGGTTCTTACAGGACCTAGACTGATAATCTGCTGAATAACTGAGTAACCTACTCAGAACTCTGTTTCTTTCTCCCCATTCTCACTCCCCTACTTCATGACTAATCAGCCACAGATCCCGACTCTTGGATCTTCTTGACTGATCTAGCACTTTTTTTTGCGGAGGGAGTGCACTTCTTTACAATGATTTGACTCTAAACTCAGCCTGTCAATGACTATGCATTGAGAAATTAGATCGGGCAAATCCTGTCCAAATATTCAACTCTGTAGCCAAATGACTCACTTGGCATCCATCCACACAGCTTTGTAACCCAGCAACTCTACCTGTCCAAATTCATCCTCAGGTTCCCCTCAGCCTCTAGCCACCTTTCTGGATTCTAACGTAAGCCACGGTCACTTTCACCACTTTTTTCCATGCGGTTGCTCTTTGCCTTCACCACCTTGCTAGCTCTTGAAACAGATGGCAGTATCCTTGGAGACTCTTATTCAGGGGCTGGTAACATTGAGCAAAGCCCTTGAGCTGATCAGAAATATAACATCTCTGGCATTCTATTATCTCTTGGATGAGAATCTGCATTTAACAAGATCTCATCTCTGCACCGAAAGTTTAAAAAGACTCTCAAGTCATACCTCACAGACTAAAGTCCTAATCTACATAGGATTTATGCCACCCACAGCATGTACAATGTTCAATTAATAACCACTTGTCTAAGATGATTTATTTCCTACTTTAAGTCCTTTCCTTTCCAACCTGGTTGTAAACAACTTATAAGGGACAGTCATGCATCTGGCCAATTTGGATTCAGGGAACAGAAACCCATTCAAGATACTTCAAAGGGGAAAATTATCAATTAGCTTGTTTTAACATTACAAGGGAATTCAGCATAGAAAATTCAGGGAGGAGGCCAAGGTTTGGCCTCCATTCCAGACCATGCTTCCATTCTCTGCTCCCTGCTCTAGGCAGTTTCTGCTGCCTATTTTCAGTAGTGTTTGCATGACACAGTATGCCTGATCATTCTCTCTCCTACCAGCCCATTTACCTCTCTCCCTTTTTGCTTTGATTTTTTACTCTGTCTCTAACTTTAATGTTTCCCAGGAGAGATATGATACCACAGGGAATCTTTTCAGCCAAACCACAAGGTTACAAGCCTGTGAGTCACCTAGGGATTGGCTGCCCTTGAGTCAGGAGCCCACCCTGTTCCAATCAGCTGAGACCAAGGAGACTGCAGTTCAGAATAAGGCCTTATCTAGGAAGAGGAGTTGTCAAAGGAGACTGTTGCCTAGCAAGGAAACCTGTGAGAGGAGTAAGGAATGAGCCACACCTCCAGCCGGAAGAGTTATTTATTTTCTCTTCCTCAAAGTCCCAGGTACATAATAAACTGAAATCAACTGATATAGGAGAGAAGGGTGATTCCCCAGGCAGTACAATAACCCTGACACTGTGGTTGGATACACGGGGACTATAAAGATTCCATAAGAAGCAGTACTTGTTTCCCCAGAGCTCCTAATACAAGTGTGTCACTGAACTAGCCACTTGACCTTGGTCAAGTTACTAAACCATTCCGGGGCCAGGGTTTTCCCAACTATCTGGTGGTTCTCCACTTTCGAAAGCCTCCGGAAGTGTTGTAAGAGACTATATAGGTAAGTACTTTGAAAAACACTTTTGCCAGTGAAAAACAGTACCGCAGCCTTTCAATACACATGACAAAGATGTTACATTGCTTTTAGTCTTTTTTTCTCTTCTCCCGATTTCCCAGCAATAGCTCCATTAGCTGCTATTATTTGAAAGCAACTATTATGATGCTATTTTAAACACCAACTATTATCATGATATTTTCATTGCTCTGTGACTCAAATGGTGATTAGTCCATTTATTTATTTCACCCAGAAGTGTAAAAACTGAATATATTAATGCACTAAATTTCTATGTAAGGCACAGGTCGGTTTTCACTTTTCTGTCACAGTCTGTCACACAGTAGTGTTAATATTTTCCTGAGTTCTGGAATCAGAAAATTGTATATATTGGAGTCCAGAAACCCTATTTTTCACATGAGAGCATTACAAATCATAAACCCAGGAATCCCTGGTCTCCTTTCCTCTATAACCCCTCAACCCAAACCACTTTATCACCTACCTCACAGTCAAGGTTAGGGATAGGGAGCAGGGATGAGAATCAGTGACCAGGGCAAGTCAAATTAGTTCTCAAAAGCCTGTCAACACACCTCTAACAGCAGTCAAGGAGAGTCATGGAAATGAATAAACAAACTATATTGTCTTAGCTTTGCCCTAAGCAAGATCAATGGATGTTTACTGAGTGCCTGGTACAGGCCAGACAGGACGCTGAGGGCTCCTTGGCCAGGCAGCACAGTGTGTCAGCCCTCCCAAAGCGCTCTTGCCTCTAACCTGGGCATCTGTTGCTCAGTGCCTACAAGTGTAGCCATTCAACAGCTGGCCTTGGGTGGCGCAAAGAAAGCAGCAGATACCTTACTCAGCTCAGCTCGGCCGACCAAAGTGCAGGTTTCAAGCAAAAGAAAAATTTAAAAATGAAACTTTAGTCAGGCAGCACAGTGTGTCAGCCCTCCCAAAGCGCTCTTGCCTCTAACCTGGGCATCTGTTGCTCAGTGCCTACAAGTGTAGCCATTCAACAGCTGGCCTTGGGTGGCGCAAAGAAAGCAGCAGATACCTTACTCAGCTCAGCTCGGCCGACCAAAGTGCAGGTTTCAAGCAAAAGAAAAATTTAAAAATGAAACTTTAGTCCAAAACCCAGTGAAACCAGAACCTGGCGAGCCTACGCTGCGGGGGGGGGGGGGA